TTTATTAATACTTGAATCTTTACATGCTTCTTTCATATCTGTTTCCTCCTCCATTTCTTTGATATAGTTTTTGTCCTCAGCTGACTTTATAGGGTTGTGTTTGCAGGCTTTGCCCTTTGGAAGTGAACTTAACTCTTGTGGTTATTATCAGTTGACAAACAGTGCTGGGTTTTATCTTATGGCTTAAACCCTTCTATGTGCATTAAGTAAGGCACCTTGTAAGAAAGCGGAGTCCTGGACCCAGTCCCCTCAATTCTGACTTCGCAGGTCATGGTTCCAGTCCAAATAATTGGCAATGTTTTAAATAACATTTGAGTCACTTCTAAAGAAGGTGCTACGTTATCATCCTGAAGAACACTGATTTAAAGAGACTTCACTGATTAGCTAGTGTAGCTTGAATCTATCGATTAGTCTACATTAGCTTTTTAATAAATATAGAGTCTTTATTAAAATAGGAAGGTGCTGGGGCGCCTGGGTGGCTCAGTGTGTCAAGCGTTCAACTCTTGATTTCGGCTCAGGTCATGATCTCAAGGTTTGAGAGTTCGAGCGCCACATTGGGGTCTGCACTGACACTGTAGAGCCTGCTTGGGATTTTCTCTCTCTTCATGTCTCTCTGCTCTTCCCCTGCTTGTGCTCATGCTCTCTCTCTCTCTCAAAAGTAAATGAACATTAAAAAAATAGGAAGGCATTAGTATTAATTTATAAAATTTAACACACAGTTTAGACCAGAGTAAGATTTAAAGGCCTGCAAGCACCAAGTACCTTCTGATATCGTCCCATTTACCTACACTGGCTAAGATGCCACTCTGTGCAGGCAGTACCGTCTTCGCATTACTAGCAAAATGGCCTGTGAGCACATAACCACAGGGTGTTCAGTAGAGCTTAGTAGAAGATAATCCTTTGTTTAGGAAGTTAGAGTCTCTAAGGATCACAGATAACTGGTGAAAGATCACATACGTGTTGCTGGAGGACTTGGAGTATGAATATTACTGTTCTAATCTTAACTGTGTTTCTATAAACAACTTGCCCTCTCCCTCATTGAAATATGTTCTACAAAATTCTTAATCCATCTCTGTGATGCTGTAGCCTTGTATCTATTCATGTCATGCCATGTCATTCAAGATGCACTTTTGATGTTCTCAGGGACTGAGCCCCTATGAGTTCCTGTGTAGCCACAATGACTGCTTCCCTAGAGAGTGGGGCCGGGCCAGGTTTCCAGATTCTGCATTTCCCTCCTGTTGCACCTCCCCCTCCCCCTGCCACACACACACAGCTGGGGAACAGGGAAGTGAAGGAACCAGAGCTCAGTGATGCTATGGGCGTCCCCGTGGGGACTGGCATGCCCGTGCAGTGGGGGTTGAGTGGGTGGGTTTCCCGTTCTGACTGCATGGTGTAGAACTGCCACCTCACCATTCTTGATTGTGTGGCCCTTGGCAACTTATGGACGCCTAGGTTTCTTCCTCTGAAAATGGGATCGTCCTTGACTCATGGAGTCATTGGAAAGTTTGAGTTACCGTATCTAGAGTACTAAGCGTGGCAGTGCCTGGCACATGGAAAGCACTCTGTAAATGTCAGCTACTGTTATTATTAATCAGATGGTATTTTCCTTCCTTAACTCCCTGTCCTTGGAGGTCTTAGTGTTCAATGTCCATTACTCTGCTTAGGCTTCTAGTTTTGTAAGACATGTTTCTTCTTTTTAAAGGGACCAGCTATTTATTTCTAGAGAGTCCTTTTTTAACAAGGTACATATACGTCCTACTCAAAGATATGCTGCACTGTGGCTTCTCAGGAACCATAATATAATAATGGAATTACGGCTTTATAATTAGAATGACCTCTTCCTACTTTCCAGATTAAACTTTTCTGATTTCTCTCCATCAGGCTTATTTTATGAGGGAAATGGTCACACTTGGGATTTCCCAATTATTTCATAGTAAGGAAGTTTTGCTGAATTTCTTCCAGCTTGACTACTCGTATGTGAACTGTAATCACCAAATTATCCCGAGAGAGAGAAGTCAGCTTGTTAAATATGGTAGCGTCCCATGGTGATTAGATCGGAGGATGGGTGGGTGGAGGGTTTTCTCGCAGTTCCTCCACTGCTGCTGGCCTGCCAGGGCGTATATGCCAGCCCACCTGTGGCTTCTGACTGCGCTGAGACCTCAAGGAAGGCACCTTTCATTGTTAATGTGCTGTGTTAAAGAAATAGCATGTAAAAGTATGTGTTTGTTTTTCAACATGAATGTATTCACAACTGGAGGCTGCAGGGAGAAGAAATCTAACATTGTGGGAGTGCACCCGTGACACAGACCCGCACGAGAAGTCACAAGTAGAAATGGACAAGCCATAGAGAATGTGGTGTCTTGTTTCCCCAAGACTGTCATTCTGACAGAAGAAGTCTTTACCTGGAAATGGAGAGCCGCTCTCCTGGCAGAGTGCTGCCTTTTGATAAACAGGTGTTTTTGAGGAGGCAGAGCCCAGAAGTGCCTATCAGTGCTGCGTAGCTTTAACAGAGCTTTTAGAAAGGCTAACTTTCCTTTTTCCATTTAGTGTCTGTTATTAGTGAGAACGTTAAGGAGAAATTTGTGTTTTTCACTTCCTCTCTCAAACTGCACCGGGTGCAATTTTAATCAGCCACAAAATGCGGCTGTTGAAGCCAGCATGATAGTTTAGGGCAGTTGGATGATGGTAACGATCATACTAGCTAGCCTTTGGGGGTGTACTGCTGGCCCTGTGTTAAGCATTGTGTGTGTGTGTGTGTGTGTATGTGTGTGTGTGTGTGTGTGTATGTGTGTGTGTGTGTGTGTGTGTGTGTATACAGCAGCATTTGTAAAACCACCAACAGCCCTTTGAGGAAAAGTTCCAGAGTGGCCCAGGGTTCATCGGGTAGTCACAGGGTTCTGGATTAGAATCTAGGGTCTGGATTCAAATCCAGCCCTCAGTCATGCTCACTGTTCACAGTTGGTGACATCTGTACAAAGAATTCTAAATTGGAAGTTTTCCTACATTGGATCAAAAATGCTTCCTGTGATGAAACATTGCATTCTAAACCATTGCATTTCTTGCCCTTGACCTCCTTGTTTTCCTTGATGCAAAAAAATCTAGGTCCAAGGGAGCAGATGATACAAGGAGGAGCTATAAAAATAGTTGACTCCCTATATTGTAGACGATGGCCTACTTTGTAGCTTAGTTTCAAAAATTCATTCCTACTTTTTACTGTTTTGTCTTTTAGGACCATTGTTCTATTTCTCCACCTTTTCTCCCATTTCTCCCTTTTCCCTTGCTAGCATCGTGCATATTCATCAACTCTCAAACAAGAGTAGTCCCACACTTGCCTTTGTTCAGCGTTACAGTACAGATCTGTGGTTCAGCCGTGCTAGGCTATAGCTCTGCAGGACAGGGAATTCTTGTTTTCCTGTATAATTAAAAACTCCAGAGGCGCCTGCGTGGCTCAGTCAGTTAAGCATCTGACTTTTGATTTCAGCTCAGGTCAGGATCTCACGGTTGTGTGATTGAGCCCCGCCTCCGGCTCCACCCAGAGTGTAGAGCCTGCTGAAGATTCTCTCTGTTCCTCCTTCCCCTGTGGTGGTTCGAGAGTAAAATAAAACATTAGAAAAAAGAGGGGAGGGGCTTCTGAGTGACTCAGTCAGTTGAGCGTCCGACTTTGGCTCAGGTCATGATCTCAGGGTTCGTAAGTTTGAGCCCCACATGGGCTCACTGCCGTCAGTGTGTAGCCTGCTTCAGATCCTCTGTCCCCTTCTCCCTGCCCTACCCTGCTCAAGCTCTCTCTCAAAATAAATAAATAAATAAAACACTAAAAAACACCCTCTAGGGGGCAGTGTTTTACTTCCTTTTTAGCTAAGGAAAGAAGGGTCCTTTACCCAAACCTTTTCATTTGGGCAATCTCTCTTTTTCTTTCTCTTTTTGTCTCTCTCTCATAATTATCATGAATACTGTAAATGACAGAATTACAGAAGAGAATAATATGGATACTGTTAGGTCTTGAAGGAGCTATAAAATAAGTACAAAGTAATATTTAAATTAACATACCTTTATTGAGTTTTCTCTCCTTATTTCTGCAAGTTGGTTTCATCTGTGTTTTTTTGGTGTTTGTAGGCAGACAGGAGAATGCTTCATTCCTTAACCTGGTGTACGTTGGCCTATATGACATCTGTGTTTCAACACACACAGGCAGCACTAAAATATCAGTCATGTCCTGAGTTTTCCCAGCCTGCACAACAGGAACACACACAGGCACATAACTGTCTGTCACTCGGAGATGTTTGTAAAAACAACAACAGCAAAGAGCCTTGAAAAATAGAAAACTGTTGTACAAGTTTATCAGGGGCTTCATTTGTAACATAAATGTAGACATTGACATGGACCAGTTGTTAGAACTTAAAGACACAATACAGCCCTCGAGCTTCAATGAAGCTCGTTTGGTTGGGTCCTCTCATCATTGTATTCTTATTTGCCCAGTGAAATCCCAGCCAAGATGCCTTGTGTGCCCAGTAGAGACTCGGAGTTAACTCTGGTGCGGCTTGGGAAAGACACCTTATCTGATACATACAAGTTTCGTTGTGACTGAGCACATTCACCCTCCCGCCCATTACTTGGCAGAATGTGGCTGAGGAGTTAAAGAACAGGGTCCAGAGAAGAAGTGAAACAAATCTCAGTGGTCCCAACTAAGCCTTCACTTTAGAAACTCCTGTTGAAACAGACTGATACCCATAGTCTACTGCAGTTCTCAGATTCTCTTCTTTCTTGGTTTATAAAACCTCGATAATGAGGTCCTTTTGAAACTGTGGTACTTACGTTTCTTTAGACTGGATTCTAGAAGAAATATATTAATGGTCCCGGGAAGGAACACAGTGGGGTGGAGTGAGGTGGGAGGGGGTGAGGATGGATTATGGCTCCTCTGTGTTTTTAAATATCCACACAGGTTAACACGTGATAGGCTGTTTACCTTCTGTAAAGCCTTACCTTCTTGTTTCCTCTTGCAGGGGTGACTTAATTTGAAGAGTTCCAAGACACTGAGGACTTACAAGATAAGAAGTTGCCTGGGGAGTTTTTAAAAATTTTTATACAGTTTCTATTGTGGAGTCGGCAGGCTTGTGGATAGAAGCTAGAAGGGAACGTTGCACTGTGCTGGAGACACAATTCAGTTTGCTTTGAAACAAGTTATGGGTTAAAAAGTCTGATGGAAAATGTATTACATTTCCAGTGAAGAAAAGAGCTCGTTTTAAAATATTCCCGACCACCGTACCCCCCCCACCCCCCATTACTTGCCTCGGTGTGACCTGGCAGTTTTTCCTGTATGATCACTGTGTGTAGGGGAACTATCCGTGTGCGGTCGAGCCGACGCTTGGCGATGCCTGCGTGTGTGAGTGTGTGTGTGCGCACACACGTGTACACACACACACACACACACACACACACACACACACTCTTCTCCCCACCCGTAGATCTCATTTTGCACCTTGTTACAGGAAGATCCTCTGAGAGCTTAACTGTTACAAGAGATAAAGGTGAAGCTTCGTGGTAAAAGGTGCTTGCAGATAATCTGGACTTAGCCCTGAGCAGTCGTGCCCCCTCGAGGTCATGGCGTCAGATGGCACCAGATGCCAGACTTTGGATTCCTGGACCAAGAGCTCAGCTTTAACCCCTGCCACCACACCCCACTCCTAGGTCACTTGGAAATATTGAGGCTTTTTTGTTTTTAACTTGTGCTAAGCAATTCTTATTTAATCTGTTGAATAGAGGGGGAAAATAGTTTAAAGTGACTAAAAACAAAAACCCCAAAATGCGTGTTTTGACAACCCGAGGACAAAATAAAACAAAAACACCCAACTTCTGAGGCAGGATGGGCCCGTACCTTCCTCTGGCATGTTTTCTTGGGCATTTCCCAGTTTCCGTCTTGTAACCAACGTGCATTATTGAAAAGATTCTTAATGGTTACTTTTCCCCTGTAAGCCTGGAAAACCTCACTTTTATTTATTATTATTATTGTGTTTAGCTTTATAGTTTACGAAACATCTGAGAGAACCAGAGGTGGAGCTAGGAGCACAGTTATGACAGGTGTGGGCCCCGGGCCGGGAGCCCAGAGACCTGTGGTCAGTGTTGGTGTGGCACCTGGTGCACTTCTTCTATCTCAGCGAGAGGGAGCATCTTTCTCATTTCACTCCCCAAGAGAGGATTTCCATAAAAATGTAGTTTAAACTATTCCCTGGAAATATACTCATTCTATCCTGTTTCTGGCGTCAAAACTAAAAATTCACAACCTTTGAAATGAATGGTAGGTTCAATTTCGTGTGTTTTTTTTTACACTGGCCACTGATAAGAACTGTGTGTGACATACAGACTCACAGAGGGCTAGAGGACTTCGGTTTGGAAATAAATCCCGCTGAGGTCCAGCAAGGAGCGATAGAGGAATTTGGGGGAAGGGGGTTGTATTAGTGTAAATACTATATGTGCGGCCTAGACCAATAGTTTTAGTTTTTAAACGTACAGCGCCGTTTTTGGCTTTAAAAATATGATGCCCTCAGATGGTGAGAAATAAAATGTAAGATATTCTTCAGCTTTAATTATTTTCTAATTTTATTCAGGTCAGAGCACTTTTTTATGGCAATACAACAGGCAAGAGAATACTCAAAAATATTTAAACGTGTGTTTATACCAAGAGTACGTTTTAAATATTTTCTAATACTTGAGCAGTTTTTGTCTGGCTGGCTTCCAAATATGCCAAAAGTTAAGCATTCAATGTTTTAACACATAAGCTTTTTACTAATAAGGATTCTGAAGTATTCCCAAAGCAACTGATGTTTACAGGGCTTGTGTTTTTCTTCCTTCTTTAGAAGGATCGGGGTCCACAACAAACTTACTGTACAAAACACTAACGATGGGGCTAACTTCTGGTGTCATGAGTGAGTTGGCTACGACCTTGCTGTAAAAATTTGTAAAGGAAATTTTGCACCATTTTGAGTGTCAAATGTATTTTTAACTGTCTGGTTTGTACTTTTACGACTTTTGTACTACCAAAACAGAGTTAAAAATAAAAACGTTAAACACTTTGTGTGGTTTTTGAACAATCCAGCTGTCGGTGCCTGGCGTACTGAAAATGTGTTGGTAGCGGTATGGCTCACGCAGAGCTTGTTAGCGCAGTGCCTGATTTCTTGGGTCTGGGTTGACCTGGGATGATTTGGCTGACTCCCCCCGCTGGATTGCAACCCCTGCCTCTTCCCAGTAACAACCCTTCCCAACCCCTGATAATTATATTTTAAATGTAGAGATTATTCTGAACATAGAGAAGAGTTGCAATATCAGCGCAACAAGTTTTCTGTGTGCTGTCACCCCATTTCCTTTTATGTTAGCATCTTACGTCACTGCAGACCAATGATCAAAACTGACGTTAACGCTGGTACAGTGCTACTAAATTAAGCCACAGCTTTGTTTGGATCGCATCAGCTGTTCCAATAATGTCCTGGAATCTCCCACTGCATTTGGTCATCTGGTCTCCCCTGAGCTGTGATCGTCCCTCATCTTTTTATTTCTTGGGATTTATGAACATGACACTTTCCACTGTACCATTCTGTTGTTTTGGAGGATACCCTTTAGTTGACGATGGCCAGCTGTGTCTCCTGATTAGACTGAGGGTCCACAGAGGCGATGGATTTCCCACTGCCTCGTAGCAGGGGAGCGTGCTGTCTGCACATATTTCTGGCGATGTTAACTGTGATCATTTGGTCAAGGCGGTGGCCATCAGCTTTCACTTTGGTGAAGTCACCATTTTTCCCCCTTCGCAATTAACAGTTGAGAGGAGAGCCTTTGAGATGGGGTGAGTTTCATATTTCCAGGTAAGATTTCTTTCACCTATTAATGTTACCATCACCCTGTTTCTTAGGGCTCGTGGAACGAATTGCCACAACCTGGGTGGCCTGAAACCGCAGAAATGTCTTCTTTCACAGTTTGGAAGTCCGGAAGGCTGAGACTGCGGGGTCTGTGGTGCTTGTTCCTTCCGAAGCCCCCAAGAGAGAATGTTCCGGGCCTCGCTCCTAGCTTCGACCGGCTGCTAGCAATCCCCAGCATCTCTCCAATCTTGGCCTGTCTTTCCATGGCCATCTTTTCTGTGTGTGTGTCTCTGTCTGCTCTTCTCAGGAGGACGCCGCTCATTGGATTTGGGGCCCACCATAATCCAGTAGGCTTCATTTTAACTTGATTACATTTGCAAAGGCCCTGATTTCAAATAAGATCACATTCACAGGAATCAGGCATCAGGACTTCAACACATCTCTTGTAGGGAACACAATTCAAGCCACTACACCATCTACTGGTGGATCTTGTCTGCAATAGTCACGACTGTGATGGGGCTCTTTTAGATTGGTGTCTGTGTCCTTTTGATAGGGTTCCATGCTCTTTATTTCTCCTTCCTTCCCTCCTTTCCCTCTACCCTTCCCTCTCTTCCTCCCTCCTTCCCTTCCTCCCTCCCTCCCTCCCTCCGTTTCTCCCTTCCTCCCTTCTTCCCTCCCTCCCTCCTCTCTTTTCCTCTCTTCCTTTCTTCTTCCCTTCCTTCTTGCCTCCCTCCTTTCTCTCCCTTCCTCTATCCCTCTCTTCTTCCCTCTTCTCCTCTCTTCTTTCCTTCTTCCTTCCTCCCTCCCTTCCCCCCTCCCTCCCTTCTGCCTCCCTCTCCTCCCTTCCTCTCTTCGTCCCTTTCTTTTTCTTTTACCCCTTGGTTCATTCTCACTGGCGGAACCACAGATGCTCCAGGCTCATCTTGTTATCTTGTAGTTTCCTTGCCTCAGCCCTAGAATTGACCAGTAATCAGGGAGCCCTGGTTCCTCTTACTGTAGAATTGGGTTTAGAAATAAAGTTCGGGACAGTAGGTGTGCTCATTGAAGCAGAGGTGTCCCTGCTTCTAGGCTTCTATGTGTATAACACACACACACACACACACACACACACACACACACACACTTCTGTTTCTTTCTGACTGGAGCCTAGCTCCACAGAGCTCATTCCAAACGTCCTGCTTTCCTCATTTGTAATTTTTTTTCTCCTACAGGGAGAAAACCTGGCTCTTACTATCTAAAATATTTGTGCATAGGGGGCGCCTGGGTGGGTCAGTCAGTTAAGCATCTGATTCTTGATTTTGGCTCTGGTCATGATCTCACAGTTCGTGGGTTTGAGCCCACGCTGGGCTCTGTGCTGACAGCATGGAGCCTGCTTGAGATTCTCTCTCCCCCTCTCCCCCCCCCCCCGCAAAATAAGTAAACTATAAAATGTTTGTATATAGTTGTTCAGTCCTAGCATACATATAAAGTAGTCTGAATATATAGCCCTGGGAGAAACAAAGGTGCCATGCAGAGCACAGTGTGTGTGGACAGCTCACTTAGCCGTCAGCCTCACAGCCTCCAGCCCCAGCCCTGTGCACAGTGACTCAGGTCGGCTTCTTTGTCCCTGTCCTCAGCGTGGTTAGCACAGACTCACTTGCCAGCGCCTTCACTCCACCTTCCCTTTATGTGCTGGTTAGAATGTTTTACATTAATACGCAGCAGGGTTCACTCTGGTGCCTCTCGTTGGCCTTAACTTGGAATTTTCACAGGATTTGTTGTTTTGCCTTGAAAACAAGATGATCACCAGTGGCTCCTGTTAAGGAAGTGGAAGAGCAGGTTTTATCGTTTCCACTTCTCCTAAAACCAAGAAATCCAGAATGTGTGCACTAGGGAGAAGGAGAGAAATCCCCTCCAAGTTCCTTATTTTTTAAGTGTATTTTTATTTATTTGGAGAGAGAGAGAGAGAGAGAGAGAACAGGCGCGAATTGGGGAGGGGGGGAGAGAGAGGGCGAGACTCCCAAGCAGGCCCACACTGTCAGCGCAGAGCCCAACGGGGCGCTCCATCTCACCCACGGGGAGATCATGACCTGAGCCGAAACCAAGAGGCAGATGCTTAACGGGTGGAGCCACCCAGGCACCTCCAAATTCCTCATTTTATAGTCAAAAGGGGTCACTCGGGGTGATGGGTTTTGTTCTTAACTGGATGTTGAAGGCTTGGAGGTGGACTTCCACGATTCAGTCCTGGTCACTGAGGGCGTGGGTGTAGTCAAAGGGGACTGCCTTGCACCTGAGGTCCTGCCGGTTCCTGCATCCTCTGACCCTCGTAAAAAGTTTATGGAACAGGCTGTTTCCAGGGCTTCCTTTGCTCATTCCTCATCTTCCCAGAGCCGTTCTTCAGGGCTGTTCTTAGATCTTCCCGGGGCACCCTAACTGTAGCTCCAGGGACCTGCAAGGACACCACTCACGTGTCTCTGGCATTCTGTGGCAGCCCAGCTGATGTCCCCCTGCCTACTCCAATCGGCGGGAAGTCCGCGCCTGCTGGTTTTTGGCCTCGCGCGGAGCTGGCGCTCGCCCCCTCTGCTGGCCAAATGGGAGAACTGCACGGAGCGTAGTTCCTATGGCCGTTTGTGGGTCTAGCCTCTCTCAGGGCCTCGTGTGGAAAAGGCATTCGTGATAATTTGATTAATAAATAAACAAACAAAAGTCTACCTTTAAAAATGGAAGGAGATCACTAGCTACTTTATGGGCATATGGGTTTTTCCTAACCCTTTTTCTGACTCCGCCAGTTTGTCTTTATTTTCTTTCTCATCAGACCCAGTTTCTTTTTTTTTTTTTTTAATGTTTATTTATTTTTGAGAGCGCGAGAGAGGCAGCATGAGCAGGGGAGGGCCAGAGAGAGAGGGAGACACAGAATCGAGGCAGGGTCCAGGCTCTGAGCTAGCCATCAGCAGAGCCCGACGTGGGGCTCGAACCCACGAAGCATGAGATCATGACCCGAGCCGAAGTCGGACTCTCAAGCAACTGAGGCACCCAGGTGCCCCCATCAGACCCAGTTTCTTAACCAGGGATCTCACGTCCCTGCATGTGTGAGCCTGAGTGCTGGTAGGAATAACTGAGTTCCAATTTGGAGGAAGCCCCATGCCCTGAGTCCCCATCAGGCAAGTGGTATAACTTGAGGCAGTGTGGTCATGGAGAAGCAGCCCAGGCTTTGCTGTCGAGTTTCATTGCTCGCTCTGCTACTCGCTGCTGTGTGATATTGGGAAAATTACCTTACCTTTCTGAGCCGCAACGTCCTCATCTGTAAAATGACCTATCTCACAGGGCTATTAAAGGGGTAGATGACGTATACAAAGCACCTGCCATGCATGGCCTGCGTGTCCACCCTGACAGAGGGCGCTGCCATGTGAGCCATCATACGTGGTAACTTAGTCAAGGGTGTGGGTGCGTCTGTCCCACCACAGCTGACTAACGTGGCCTAGGAGGTGGCCCAGCACACTGCTCTGTCCAAGAGTGGCGCTAAAGCACTAAGTGTCTTGCTTGGAAGCAGAACCCCAGTTAGAGTTCAAAGCCTCACGGAAGAGCCACGGAATAGAGAAGGGTCCAGGTTTTGAGGAGGTAGGAGTGCAGGGGTGGGAGAAAGATCGGAGGGTGAAGAGGCAGCCTGTGCAGGGGCAGCCGAGACCCTGTCAGCCCAGCATCTCTCCCTTCTGGGAATGATGCCTCCCTGTTTGAAGAATTCTTCGTCTCCCTGCTCGAGCCTAGTCGTGTGCCTGACGCCTCTGACTGCAGCCGGACGTGGCTGAGGTGGACACAGGACACCCATCTGTGACCTGGACAAATGGAGGCCCTCTGGGCTGTTTGCCAAAGGGAGCTGGAGAAAGTGGCCTGTTTTCCTGGTGGCTCAAGCCGTAGGCTCAGGGGCTGGTGGACGCCATGTTTCCTGCCATGTGGAAATTGGACTGAGGAGAGGAAGAGACAGTCCCACTGCGCCACGGAGGGAAGAGAGGTGGCTCTCAAGCCGCAGGTTCGTGGTCCCTGAGGACCAGCTGCCCTTCTGAGTCTCATGAACATTCCAGGGACATTCTTCTGTTGTCTTACCTTGTTTGGGTCGAGTTTCTATCGCAACAACAACAACAAAACTCCATGACTAATGCCCTTATTCACAGAAAAATAGATATACGAGGAATTACAGAGCCACATGGCTAGTGAGGCCTTGGCTTCCAGCCCTCAAACTGAGATTCCCCAGAGCTGCC